GCATCTTGGGAGGTATAAAATGCCAAGTTGTTCCATCGTTGGCTAAAATTTCTGCGATATTAATTGTGTCATTGCGCTTGCTTCTTTCGAATAGTTGTTTAAGTTCCTTGGCGGCACCAACGAAATTGGTGCCGTTGTCACTCCAAATGTGAGCGCAATGACCACGGCGTGCAACAAATCGTCGAAACGCTGCAATAAAGGCCTGAGAAGTCAAATCAGTTACTGCTTCTAGATGAACAGCGCGTGTGGCCATACACACAAATAAACATATATAGCCCTTAGTGCATTGGTGACCACGGCCCTTTGATGTCCGTATGAATATAGGACCCGCGAAATCAACTCCACTATTTAGGAAAGGGCGATGTGGTGTTACTCTCTCTGCTGGTAGTTGTCCCATGAGTTGATATTTAACCTTTGCTTTATCAATGATGCATATCTTACATTTACGTACATATTTTTTGATCGACGCTTTTAAACCTATTACCCAATATCGACTTCGAATGTATGACATCATCAATTGTATTCCACCATGTAATGTCTTGATATGAGCTTCCTTTATAATAAGTTGTGTTATATGAACCTTATCAGGTATTATAATAGGGTGCTTTGCGCACTCAGACATCTCAGCGTTTTGTAATCGTCCTCCAACTCTCATTAAGCCATTTGCACCTAGAAACGGTGAGAGTGAGACTAGTGAACTTCCTTTTTTAACTCTTTTAATTCTTTTTAAATCTTCTAATTCATCGTGATAAACTTCGCTTTGATAAAATCTAATACAACTGTAAATAATTCCTTCCATTTCTAAATACGTTAAAATATCTGATCTTCTTTCTATATGCTTCTGTTTTTTCCATCTTTTACAATAGGCTAAAACTCTTTTCATTCTTGACATAGACGAAAATCTTTCCCAAATTGGTTTAGTAGTAACATGAGTGTGACATAAAGCTTTCATTTCTAAATTAGTATATGGAATCATGATTCTCTTTAAAGTTACTTCTTCGTTCTTCAACCACTTCGGACCCTGCCACCATAAATTATTGTCATACAAATCACATGCGTTAATACCTCTGGTAGCAAGATCTGCTGGATTTTCGTTAGATTGAACGTGACTCCATCTATCACAATCTAAAATTCGTAGGATCTCAGTTACTCTGTTTGCAACAAATATTCGCAACCTGTTGGACTGATGTTGCAACCATGATAAAACCACCATTGAATCGGTGTAAGCGAATATTTTATTCTTTGATAAATCGAATAAACCAGCAATATCATTTATTAATTCTGCTAACAAAACTGCACCACAAAGCTCTAATCTCGGAACAGTTAATTGTTTCAGAGGTGCTACCTTTGTTCTGCTCGCAATCAAGGTAATGTATATCTTGTTATCCTTATCCTTGACCCTTAGGTAAACCAATGCTGCGTAGGATGTAGAAGAGGCGTCAGAAAACCCATGAAGTTGGACATCCGTGTTATTTGGTGACAACTTTAACCATCGTGGAATAGAAATCCTTTGCAGGTAAGTGAGTCCCCTTCTATATTCTATCCATTCCTCTTTCAGGTCCGTAGGTAATTCATCATCCCAAGCAAGGTCACACAGCCACAGCTTTTGTATCATAATTTTTGCAGATATAATTACAGGTGACAACCAGCCGAACGGATCAAAAAGACGAGCTACGTCGGACAGAATGGATCTCTTCGTTATTGGAGTCGTCAATTCAGGTAAATTTACTGTAAATTTAAAATTATCATCTTTTCTATCCCATGACAATCCTAATATTTTTATTACTTTATCTAGCTTTATTTCTATATTTTCCATTAAATTCTCTTTTCCATTTTGTAAATATTCTAATAATTCTTCATTGTTACTTGACCATTTTTGCATTTTAAATCCTCCTTTATCTAATATTTTCTCTATTATTTTACAGGTATCCTTCGCTTCATCTAATTCATCTAGGCTCACCATAAGATCATCCATGTAGAAACAATTATTTATGATATACGATGCATTTGGATGTTGCTTAGCTAATTCTTCGTCAATTGTGAGTTGTTTTAATGTTCTAACAGCTAAATAAGGGGCTGCTGCTGTTCCAAATGTAACTGTTTTTAACTTGTAACTTTCAATAGGTTTGTCGGGATTATCACGCCATACTATGCATTGTAAATTCGAGTGTTCTTCGTTTATTTTTATCATTCTATACATTTTGACAATGTCTCCGACAATACATATTTTATATTTCCTCCAACAAATAATAAGACTACGAAGGTCAGGCTGAAGGACAGGTCCCACCATCATCATCTCGTTCAACGAGTAGCCATTTGTACCCTTTGCAGATGCATCATATACAACTCGAACCTTCGTAGTATCTTTGTCCTCGCGAATAACAGCATGATGGGGTAAGTAAATAGTATAATCTTCTTTAGTTTCAATTTTCTGCAGATGATTCATATCTAGGTATTCTTGTATAACCTTTGTATATTCTTCTTTTAGATTTGGATTTTTCTCAAACTTCCGTTCTAAGTATTTAAATCTAGTCACAGCTTGCTCTTTAGTATCTCCACATAGTTTAACTGTTTCTTCTAGATTTTGCTTCAAAGGTAATTCTACGACATATCTTCCACTTTCTTCTCGTTTGGTAGTTTTAGCGTATATTTCTTCACAGGCTTGTTCTTCTTTTGTAAATATTCGTTTTTTTGTGTAACTCTCCGTTTCTATCTCCCAAAATCTTCTCAACAAATCATTATCTTCTGCAACCATTCTAGTAATATGTAAGCTTGTTATTCTTTTTTCTTTAGTCGATTGTGTTATATTCTTCTTTCCAGATAGAATCCATCCTAAGGTAGTCTGTTGTGCAATTAAGCCATCTGGCATCCTTTGTAATCCGACTTCCATTATTTCAGGATAGACGTCGGCTCCAAGCAAAATATCTATCTTACTTGGCTTAGCAAATGTAGGATCAGCCAGTGTCAATGTGTTGAGATGTGTCTTATTTGTTACAAATTCTCTCGAAGGAACAGTCGATATAGTTTTCATAACATAAGCTCTAACATGAAACGTTGAGGCTGCGTTGCATCTTGAATTTATGGATAAATTTACAACATGCTTAACTGGTAGTTTAGTGCTCTCTCCAACCCCTGTAACTAAGCCACTAACCTTTGACTTCTTTAGCCCCAACAAATCAACTACTCTCGATGTAACAAATGATGCCTCTGAGCCTTGGTCAATGAGTGCACGGAAGACGTGTGATTCTCCAGAGCTCGATAAAACATCTACCAATGCAGTTGCGAGTAATACTTCTTGACCAATCTCTTCTCTCGAGTAGTGCGTAGCTATCAATCTTTCGACTTCTCCTGTATTCTCTGGTTTGCTGTTACTGGTTGCCGCGTAATCTTCTTCCTTCTTCTTAGTTTGATGTAATAGTGTGTGATGCCTTCTCTTACATATTCTGCATGATGTGCGTTGTCGGCATTGAAAAACATTGTGATTGGGTATGAGGCAGTTGAAGCATAATTTATTCTTCTGTACAAAATTCTGACGTTCTTCAATAACTAAATTTAAGAATTTTTTACAGTTATGTATATAATGATCACCACTACAGAATGAACACAAAATCTGTCGTTTACAAGAATTACTTTTGTCACCCTTTTCATGAATAGCAATATGAGTGTGTATTCTGTCTCTAGTTGTAGACGTCAATGGAGATATTAATTCTAGAGTGCGAAATTTAGACTCTAAAAACATACGTAGCTGTTCCCATGTTGGTAATTCGTCGTGCCTCTCCGTGCGGTATGCAGTCTCTTCCCACTCTTTATGTGTTTGCACGTCAAGCTTTTGCACCACCAAAAACACAATCAAAGGGTCCCATGAATCTGTACATATTTCTAAGTTTTTTAAGCTTTGAAGACACTCCACTGTTGTATCTAAAAGTGACTTTACTTGCTGCGAAGTTTGATGTGTTAACCTTTTTTGATTACAAAGTCTCTTTAATAAAGATGAAACTATAAGCCTTTTGTTTCCATAGCGGTTCTTCAATAAATCCCAAGCTTGCATATAATTATTTTCAGTTATGTTAATGTGTCGTAATAATACTTCTGCCTCTCCACCAATACTTGATTTTAAATAATGTAACTTTTGCACATTTGATAACGAAGTGCTGTTATGAACCAATGACGTAAACAAATCTTGAAACGTAGGAAATTCTTCGTACTTGCCAGAAAAACATGGAAGTTGTATGCGAGGAAGTTGGATGCAGGATATTCTATCATCGTATTGAGCACTTGCGAGATTACCATTTTTGTCACTAGTCCCGGAACCACGTTCATAACTTTTTAAACACTCCAATAAATCCGACTTCAATAATAAGTACAAGTCTTCATATATAAAGAATTCTTCATTAAGGAAATACGGCAATAACCCTCTTTGTTCACGCGGCGTACACGCTGCGAGGCTATAATGAGTCTTCTTAAATGTATCCCAGTGATCCTCTATACATTTCAAACGAGATTGTAGATAACCTTCTGTCAATCTAGCCTTCGGGCATTTTTTCAAGTTTGTTTGAGTTTTCTTTAAAGTAGTAGCAATATCTTCCAAAATATTTAAATATTTCACTTGTTCTGGAGTTTCATTAGTCATTTTTTAAATATTCGTTTACTATTTTTATCTTCTTTCTTCAAACAGCACTATATTCTTTACAGATCTTCTATAAGTTATACGCGTAATATAAAATATAAAGCGTTTCTTAATGTGCATAAATGTTGCAAACTCGTTTCTTATCTAAGTCCTTTTGTTCTTCAATGCGACGGCGATCTATTCAATACAATAATGAATCCGGCTCGAAGGACCATATGTTTATTGCGTTAAGGTGTATTATTGCTTGAATAGACTTAGCAATGCGAGTGAAAGGAAACAAGCGTGTGTATCGTACTGCGTTTAATTTGCAACTAACTCATAAGATATATTTACAATATGTAGATATAAGAGCGTAATTCTAATACATTAGTTAAACAATAATCTTTGTTTTAATTCTTAAAAATTTACAACATTTTTTCGTTATAAAATGATTTTGAGAACCCGTATCTATTAAAATTCTAATTTGTTTGAATGAGCCATCGCTACAAACAACGTAAGCGCGAGCGGTACCTAACAAAACGTGACTACTATGCGCGGAGGCACGCACAGTGTTCGCCATAGCGCATATTACGTCATTAGCCGTATCGGAATTGCTATGCGACGCTGAGAGAACTTGCGCTGTCGAGTGTACGGGTGATGATAACGCGCCACTGCCGTGCGAGCGAGAGGCTGCGCGCGCAGCGTCGCGTGCGGGTGAGAGCGGGATAGCATTACCACGAGGCGACCGCGACCGCCGCGGCGGCGAGACGTACGCGGCTCGCGCAGGGACGTTTTCCCTTTCAGATTGCGAGCGGCTACCTTTATTTTTGAAATGCGTGTTATCATTAAAATGAAGCATAGTGTGATGCGAATGTGAATTGCAATGTTTACAGGCATTAGACGATTTACAAGTTGATGCGGTATGTCGTAAACTGAGACAGTTTACACATGAATGGTTGCGCTTGACAACCTGATATCGTTCACGCGGATTATTGTCGTTAAACTTAGAACAGTTGTAATAATGAGTATGAGTTTTTAAAGAACAAACGGGACATGCGGAATTACTATTTACTAAAAATGACTTTACAACGTTTTTAGAAACAAGCGGTAAATTTGAATGAGGTTTAGACTTAGAATTTAATGAACCATGACGTTGTATGATTTTAATTTGATCGCGGACAAAAGAAAGTAAATCGTCAAGTTTTGGAATTCCACAATTTCGGTTTTCCATTTCAAAAGCGCGGGTGGTCTCACAATCTAGTTTTTTGAGAGCTATATATAACAAAATGAAATCGCTTAGATTATCTAATTTTAAATTATTTAATGCGGATACAGAAGATGAAAATCTATCTATAAAATGTTCTAATTGTGACGCGGAAGAAAGTGGTTTGTATTCAAATATAGTATTTAAATAAGTGGTCGCGAGAAGCCGCTTGTCTTCGTATTTAGAGACAAGGGCGTTAAATATTATTTCGTAGTTGTCAGGTGACGGCGTAATGTCTGCATACACCGACAATGCCTTGCCAGTCAGCTTGCCTATTAAATAATATAACTTATCAGATGACGTCAAAGTAGGGTTGTTATGTATTGTGTCGACAAAACTAGAATAAAATAGCGGCCAGTTGCGCGGGTCACCGTCGAACCCCTTCAGTTCTATTGATGGAAGTCTAGGCTTCGAATATGAGCTTTGAATAGCGGGTTTGTTAGTGAGACATTTAAGTGAAACTTGTCGCTTAATATGACAATACAAGTCTTCGAAAGCGTTGAGTTTTTTGAAATCTGGCTTATATTTAGGATTTATCTCCATGTTAAAACGATTTAAATCATATAAGACCTTTTCGAAGCTACTACGAACCGATTCTAAACCCTCAGCACGAGTAACCAATGTCTCGATATCTGCGTCACTATTAAGCCTACATGACAAATCGTAGATACTTTGAATACGTTCAAAGTACGCGGAAAGTTTAGCCTCAAGCATAATAATATTCATTTCTTGCGGAGACGTCATGTTTAACAAACTATATAACTGTTTTATATATTATAAATTAGGCGAATGAACGAAATAACTAAATAAAATGTATGACGTAGGTATGACGGTAGTTGAAATCGTATGAATATAACGAACGAAAGAATGCGGTGTGCTACGTTAGCACAAAATATGTTATGTACGTAAATTTAAATATTTACGTATTACAAAACCTATCTATTTTACAGATAGAAATGGATGCGGGACGAAATATAAATAAATGATATAAAATGTATTCACTTATTTTATAATGCGATGCGATGCGAAATACATATCTTAACTTAGTACATTAAAATATGTTTTTTAAATATATAAACGGGATGAAAACAGTTACGAAATGAGTACGTGGATACAAATAAATATTAACTGTTAAGTTATGCGATGTTAAGAAAGGCAAGAAAATTACTTTCGCGATGTGTACGCGCAGGTCTATATTAAAACAAATTAAATAAATGATATTATGTAACAATAAAAATATGATGATGAGAGTAAAATATTACTTATTGCGGTAGGTACTTGTACTATACACGTTCTAGAACAAAAAATGGCGTAGCGCGAGCGATGCGATCGTTTCGAAAGGGAAGCGGGTAGGTAATTGTGGAAATAATTTCAAGGAATTGGAATTAATCCGACGCGAAGTGACCAAAACTTTATGGTGGAGCAAGTGGACTGTAATTTTGGGATGCGGGAAGGCGTATTACCTCCCGAGAAGGGACCCCTGCCGGTGATGGAAACACCACATGCAAAAAAACAAAAGTTCAGGGACTCACCTTCTGCTGCAACTCCTATCTCCGCTTCCATGAAAATTAGCACAGGGCACTTAAAGTTCGTATAGTACACAGTAAATAAAAGTTTATAAGCGTATAGGGCGCGGTCAACCTGCGCGCGCGCGGTGCGGGATGATAGTTAATTACGCGGAAGCCGTGTTAATTGTTACACGGTGTAACGACGACTGGGGTGAGTGCATCAGCGCACTCACGCGGCTTATCCCATCACAATTGCCTATTTGCAAAATAGCGCAACCAAACATAAAACATTTTTTCCAGTAATTGACATCAGTGTTGCCACTGGTCATTTGTAGGATTACCGTACGCAAGAGATAAAATTACCGTAATTAAACAAAAATTGCCGTATATTGTTTTATTTTACAATTTACATTAAAAAGAAAACACCAGTCAAACAAATAAAAGTCCTTCTATTTATATAAAAGATGCTACTGAACCTATAATTTTGGTAGAAAAAGGCACCACAGATCACTCGGACTCTCCTCCCATCAAATCCACAACATCATCCAATAAGATATCTTCAGTGGCGTTTTTTTCATAATCAGACGGTTTTTTTTGTTGGCTTGAACGTCGTACAATTTGAATATTTCCTGGAAATATACTGCTTTGCTAATAACGTCGCATTTATAGTAGATGTTAAGAGGCGGTTTCTTGGTTTTGTTTTAATTAAGTTCACAGCGCTAAAAATTCTTTCTGAATCGGCATTTGCATGTGGCAAGGAGAGAACTTCAAGAACAAATTTCGCCAAATTCTGAAATTGCGGTTCCGATAAATGTAATATCTTGCTCCAAAACTCATCAGTTGACATTTTGTCTATATCAAGGAATAACTCTTCGGGAAGAACTGTTTCCGGTAGAAGTCTCCATTCATCGTCTATGGCCTGTTTTTGTTCATTTGTTTTCTTTCATGATGCAAGGAACCTTTAGCATCATGGGCAACAGAGTTGGCTCCGTGGTTCTTTGAGCACGAGAAACAGCATTTTTTGGCGATAATATTGATAACTTCTGCAGTAATACGTTGGAAAATTCATATCTGTTCCTTATTTGACAACACCCGGTTATAAGGAAATCTCTCGCTCTTTTTTGGAAATCTGAAATCAAGTCTTGCCTTGATTGAATATTCTGGTTTGCTATTTCAGTCATCAGTTGTACCCCAAAATACATACTTTCAGATCGTAAAAAATGTTCTTCTTTAGTCGGGTCAATAGCGCTCATATCATTTGTAACAACATAGTTTCGTTCCATGTAACACAACAGAAGCTCTTGATAAGTTGCTCTCCTTTTTCTGTTGAGTTCTGTTATTACGACGCCGTTTTTTTTGGAAATATTCGTTTAGATTCACGAACTTAGGCAGCACCCATTGCAAGAATATAAAATATAACTTCATGAATGGATCATTTAAGTCATTGAACGTATGCTCTGCAGACACAATACGCTCATCTAACTCTCTCGTAAAAAACAGTTTTAAAGATTCCCACTGTTCCAGTAATCGATTGACAACTGCTAATAGGGAAAGCCATCGCGTCTGAGAGGGGTGCAGTAGCTTGTGCACTTTAGTGTTAGTAAACGCCTGGAATTCGATAAATTCAGATTGCCGTTTTGAGCTGTGCTTAAAGAATCCATACACGTTTCGCCTTGGCAATTTTTTGCACGCTTCGCTTGCACACAGGTGTAACGAGTGGCAGATGCATTTAATAATGATTATGCCGGGATTGTTTGATATAAATCGACTAGCTACCGAATTGTGCTGACCCATCAAAACGCTAGCACCGTCTGATGCAAATCCAATTATGTTTTCTGTAGGAACATTTTCATCCTGAAAGCTTCTGATAATCGATTTATAAATTGCTTCTCCAGTTGCACCTTGATTTGCAGCGTCAAAATCGTTCTTCTCAAACAAAGGTCGCAATTCCCATAGAAGTCTAGAAATTTTATGTGTTTCAGGGTCATAAAGACGCACAACGATGCACATTGTTTTAACTGATGAAATGTCAGTTGACTCGTCCACTAGCACACTGAATTTTGTTGTTTTTAACAAAGTTTTTAAATCACTTTTATGACATTCCCCAATAACGTTTTTTATTACTCCTGTACATTTCGTTCTTTTCAATTTAATATCGGATGCAATTTTCGAATCTGGTATACTTTTTATTATTTCACTTAAATGATCCATGGTTTGGAATAAAATGTTATGCTCAGCCATAAATGAACAAAGTTTTAATTCAAGTTCAGCAACAGAATTTTCATGGGGGCAATTAACATGAGGTTTTTTGAAAAATGAATGTATCGGCTTGGCAAGTTTTTTATTTTTTATTTTCCGTGAATGTTCAACGTTGGACATGTGTCTCTTTAAAGTAGATATTTCACAAGATATTTTCACATCACATAATTGAGTCGCTTAGCGGAATAGTGGCCTAATCCACAAATTTACAGAAACAGAGTTAAGTAGATATTTGTACACTAGACTATAGATCTTTAAAACTATACTGGCCTAAAACTTAGTTTCGGTAGTGTTTGATAGATGGCGTTGATGAATGTTCGTATTCCATTTCAAATTTATGATTACTTTCGTAGGAAAAGCGGCCTATTATTTGATAGGCCCTCTTGCTTCAGCACTTAATAATTTTAGAACAACAAAATAGTGGCCCAACCCACTCTAGGCCACTTTAGTTATTAAAATATGGCCACACCAAAATAAAACGTCAATCACTTTCGCTGGAATATGTCACTGTCATCGTAAATTTTTCATTGTGGTTTGTCTATTTCGCGCCTAAAAGTAACAAAAAACATAGAATAATAACAAGTTTATGAAATATGTCTGAAAATGAGATATCGGAAATATCCGGGACAGATTTCGAGGATTCTGGTTCGGAATATACTCCATCTGATAAAGAAAACCAGCGTAATAGGCATCGTTCTCGGAAAAAACTTGTAATTCCTGAAAGTTCTGATGAATCTTCTGTTGAGGAAGCTAATGATGGAATTTCATCAAAAGAAGGTACGTTTTTCAAGTTTCGTAGTAAATATTTGATAAAATAAACATCAACTATAAAGTCTATAAAGTTATTATTGTAGTACTAATTTTATATTTCCTTCTTTCTAGTTGCCGAAGACGATAGCGTATGCAAAAGTCGGAAAAGAAAAAGGAACGTATGGAACTGGAAAAAGGAGAAGGCAAAACGAGCCAGGGCTTTCGGACAAGCGTACCTAAATGTGAAAGGAAGTTCTGTACCAGCAAAGATTTTTAATAGTGAAGACTGTGTATGTATTCATAAGTGTCACACCAAGCTATCGATGGAAGAAAGAAGAAAGATTATTGATGACTTTTATGCACTTGGAAACTACAACTTACAATCTGCATTTATATTTGGGCTGGTTAAAGTGACAAATAAACTCAGAACATACACTGCCCAAATTTGCAATAGACGTCAGTTCTCACGAATATACTATTTGCCTAGTGGAAACGGTGGAGACGTAAAAGTATGTAAAGATTTTTTTAAAAAGTCTTTGCAGGTATCTGATGGACGACTGACAAGAGTTCTGCGGAATAAAACAAATCCAGATTCTGAAACTACAGCTCCAATTGATAAACGGGGTACAGCTTCAGCTCATAATAAAACAAGTGAAGAGCAGATAAAAAAGGTTTGTGATTTCATAAATAAATTTCCCTCGTACACATCACACTATAGTCGAAGTAAAAACCCAAATCGCCAGTACCTATGCCCAGACTTAAGCATCACTAAAATGTATGAATTATACGAAAGAGAGTGTTTGAAAAATGGAGATGCAGTTGTATCGCAGTTCATATTTAGGAAGACATTTAATGAGAAATTCAATCTTCATTTTCGTCCACCATACAGTGATACGTGTAAAAAATGTGATATATTCAATATCAAACTGAAGTATGGAAGTCCAGAAGAGCAAAGTGCTGTAAAGATTGAGAAGGAAATTCATTTACGTAAAGCTGATTTAGCAAGAGATGGAATGAAAAATGATACACAGTATGGAAAAATATTGGAAAATGATACTAGTGTTATTGCATTTGACTTGATGAAGACACTTCCTACTCCACACATAGCCACTGGCGTAGCATACTACAAACGGCAATTGTGGACATACTGCCTTGGTATTCACAACTTGACATCAAACCAAGTGTATATGTATGTATGGCATGAAGGCTTGGCTTCTCGTGGACCATGTGAAATTGGATCTTGTTTATTACACTACATGAAGAAATATGTAACTACTACGAATCTGATTATGTACAGTGACCAATGTGGAGGCCAAAACAGAAACATAAAACTATCAGCAATTTGCAATTACATAGTGTGTTCAAACAAGTTTACAGTAAAAAAAATAGATCACCAGTTTCTTGTATCTGGTCATAGCTATCTACCTTGTGACCGTGATTTCGGGTTAGTAGAAAAGGAAAAGAAACATAATAAGGACATTTTCGTTCCTGAAGACTGGAATTGTGTTATATCAAATGCCAAGAAAAAGAGTCCAAAATTTTTGATTGTGAAGATGATGACAGAAGACTTCAAAAGTATTGAAAAATTGGAAAAACTAATAACTAACAGAAAAATAGATAACAATACTGACAAAAGTCAAAGAACCAAAGTCGAATGGCTAAAAATTCAGTGGTTGCGGTTTACCCATGATAATCCATACAAAATATATTACAAGTATACCAACAGTAATGATGAAACTTTTTCTCCATTTAACTGTTTTGATATTGAAAAGAAAAGAACTCGTTTTTCTTCCTCTTTGACTGATATTAATCTAGATGTTTTGTACCCCAATGGTCGCCCCATAGAGAAGAAAAAATATGAAGATCTATTACAGCTTTTACCATATTATGTTCCTCCAATTCGACATGATTTCTATCGCAACCTGAAGACAAATAATTCTGCACAAGATACTGAAGCTGACTTCTATGATGATGACCTAACCCAAGACTAACTTTCTTATTTAGTAGAATAGTGGCCTATACAACACACATTTTTTTTAATTTCTATGTTTTATACTAGTTTGTAAGCATAAAAATATCAATAAAATGATTACTTTGTATGGTCTGTTTGTTATTTTTAAATAACTAGAGAAAATACTTAAATATCAGTACTGATGTAATTCTCAGATCATTAATGCTCATTATCTCCATACTTAATGTGCAAGGCTTGGGCCACTCTTCCGCTGAGCGACTCAATTTACAATATGCCTTATTAATGTTATTTTCATCAGGGCCAATCCAATCTTTAAATTCGCCTTCTGATTCCCATTGAGTCCTATACTTTTGGGTTCTGTGTTTGGTTTTCTTATATTTCTTGGGTGTTGACGGACCCGTAGCATCTTCTTCTAAATCCGAGGACATTTTGTAAATACCAACGGCCACTGCACTGCGAAAACACTTTTTCAAAAGTGAAAAATAAGTTCTATCTCGACACAAACTAAAAAGTAGTGACGAGCGCTCAGAATTGAGAATAATCTTCAAAGGACGAGCGGAAAACAAGGCAAAATGAATTGAGGCCAAAGACTAAAGAGTATAGTAACTAACCTATACCGATTTAGGATTTGGGAATTCCCTTACCAAAGACAATACAATAATGTAGAGTTAAGTTGCGTTTATATTTACGCAAACGCTGATTATGTTCATCTACAATGTCGAGTTACGTTCATTTTTATACAAACGCTGATTACGTTTCATTTCATCTACAATTTATTTAATTATGCTATGATTGCCGTATTTTAGCGTACGGCAAAGACCACTCTGCCGTATACCGTTACAATCCGTCTTAGAAGAGCCTAAATGCCGTACGAAACGGCAATTGCCGTACAAACGGCAACACAGATTGACATTACAAGTGTCACAGACCATCTATGCCACAGATAAAACAAACTCTACGTCATCTAAGTAGCTGTAACAGAAATCTAAGCCTCTTGTCATCTCGTCGACAAGCCTTTAGAAAGTTTGGCCTGCGTTCCTTAACCCGAAGGTCATAAATGGCAACTCATACAGGCCAAAGGGTGTAGATATCGCAGTCTTCGGTATGTCTGCCTCAAAGACCGGTATCTGTGGGCTTACTCTTGAAACTGATTCGAATTTGATTTTGTTTTTGATTCGAATTCATTTTTGATTCGAACTCGATCCGGCTGCCTTACTCCCGAACCAAATCGAAACAAAACCGAGATCGACTTACGTTCGAGTGTTATCAGCACCGTTAACTGTATCCGGCTGCTGTGAATCTATGGTCAAATTCTTTTTAATGTATAAAAAACGTTATTTAAGATGATTCCCTAGTGCTTTATTAACAATTTTAAAGATTATATTTAAATTATTTTAGGCATTCTAAAATTTATTTCTTTATTAAACCACAGACAATAATGATGGTTTAAATATTTATTCTGTCCATAAAACTATTTATTACTTATTACTATGGCAAGGATGTGTCAACTGTCACAGTGCTACATTTCAAAAGTATTGGTGTTTATTTATTAAAATAATAAGTAATAATATTTTTTAAGCCACTAAAAAAAGAAAAAATAATAAATGATGACAATAGTTTTGGTGTATAAAATTACGAGATATCCTATTTTTTTATAAATTTTACATATTCTCCTCTGACTCTAGTCAAAGACTTTGATATTTCTATATTATCTTACTACTATAGTACATATTTTGTCTTTGACACTTGTAGTGGTTACATTTTTTTTTTGAGCGTGGCAGCAGAATCCTTCAACCTCTTGATGAAGCCGCCCTTCAAATTGCCAGACTTCTGCGCAACCTCCAAAATGTCAGCCATGCCGGCAGCCACTCTCAGCTCATCGGCCGACCGCTCAGCAGGGTTAATTGGAGCCGGGGCCTCAGAAGCCGACGACTCATCCTCTAACTGCGCACTTGTGCCGGCCTTGCCGAAAGCTCGCTGGTGTAAGCGCCTTTCGAACGCCACCTCGCGAGCCTCCTCCTCCATATCCTTGAGCTCGCGACGTGCACGAGCGATACCTGCACCGCCTGCAACCCGTTTGGCCCCTTCTTACGTGCCTTTGCCGACTTGGCGCTGACCGTCAACTCCGTTTCGGTACCCGAATCGGAGGAGGTGTTCGCCAAAGGCGGCACAGCACGCGGCCTTTTACGTCCCACCGATGCGTCAATAACGGACCCATCCGATTCACTGCCCATCACTACGCCAGTCACTGGCATCATCATCTCTCCGCCCATCACAGGTTCAACGTCATTTTTTTATTTTGTTTGCTTCGAGTTTCCATGATTGTTCCCACGAGTATGGGGGAAATATCCAGTCCATCCGTGCGGTGCCCCTTGCACCCGGATAAGCCTAATCTGTAACCCACTAGAGTGTCGGCCGGTACTCTAGTGGGGGAAGCAGTAGCGACCGAACTACCCATCAGCCATGCATTCCCTCGCACTGCTACGCCGCTTGGGATTCGGGGTGATTTTTTATAGAGGTTTTCTTCCTTGCAGCCCGGGTGGTTAAGCCAAGGCCATCGCTCCCAGTCCCGCCCGCTAGACGTGATCAACGACACCGGGAACCGGGATTACGATTTGAGGGGAGCGGTGCACATGAGTGCTAGTCCGGCTGCGCATTTAAGCATCCGCCGGACTCACCCCACCTCGCGTTTTTCTGTCAGGGTGTGCTCCCTTAGGCCGTGGGGTTAACAAACCCCTAAAGGCACGGCCATGCCTGCTGGTTTTAGTCCACGCCAAACGAACCGGTACCACCCGCTCAGGGCGGGTGGCGTTCCCCTATCCGCCACCTGGGGACGCGCCCGGTAGCCCAAGAAGGTCCCCAGCGAAAACAAAAAAAAAAAGTTACATTTTTTAATTACATCTTGTACTTAATTCTATGACTTAAATATACTTTATTTTTACATTATTATGGCTTAAGGTAAGTGCTATTTACAGGTATTGCTATATTTAGGCTATTTGTATTATGGCTATTTTTGTTAGAGGTTCCAGGTTCCAGGTCACAGCGTGCCATGCTGAACCTTGGGCATTGTGTAATTAGGTGGATTATTGTCTCTTCAACGCCAGGGTCGCATAGACATCCTGGGTTGGTAATACACTTGAACCTTGCCAAGTATTCAGCATAGTCACCGTGACCTGTTAATGCTTGTGTTAGTACCGTGTTACTTTTCTTAATTCTTCATTAAGTGTTACTTTTCTAATAAATTTATAGGCTATGGGTATGCTAGGTAGAAATTATAGATGGGCCAACTCGGGTTTTTGCTAACCCGAGTTAAGTAACTCGAGTTAGCATGATAAGTGCTATGAAATTATACGTTGTTTCATTTTATTTCGAGTTGGATACATCTTTTCCTTTTTTAAGTTTTTGATATGTTTTGACTATTGATTACTAAAGTGAGTCTTTTTACAAATAGTAAGTAAACAAATAAAAGAAATCGTTATATTATTATTATATTGTATTTTTTTTAATGTACAGTTATAAATAAAGAAGTAAAAAAACAATAAACATAGCTTAGCTTTTGGCTAAGGCTAAAACAATTAAAATAACAACGCCACTTCTCAAATAATAATTTGGTAAATTAACAACTATAAATAAGAAAAAATAACAAAAAATAATATTAAAATATAAATTAGTCTTTAAGGATATTAAAATAAAATTTGGTAGATAGAGATACTACCAGGAGGTGGTACCGTACCCGGTCTACACCCGATTGTCTCGCTAGGTACCTACCTTTTAAATACATATGTAGATGAAAACAGTTATTGCGAGTGTACCTTAGGAGATAGACATATGCTATTGCGACCTTTTTAAAGATCTACAATTTTCTAGTATCATGTTTTTATGTTTACGTAGTAATATGCTTGTAAAATTCTATGGATGACTCTGTAGAAACAGTTTTTATGTTTTCCTATAGTAAAAGGTAACTTAAATGTTAACCGGAGTAATTATTTACCACCAAACAAAATTTAGTTAAAATCGGTTTTAAGTACTTTTGGTGTGAAATGCATATACAACAAACAGACATGCAGACAACCAGACAAAAATTTCAATATGATAGGGTGGCTTAATGAAACAACGACATCTTGGAAGTATATGTATTATCAATAACGCTATCTCACTCCAACATTACATTTATTTGCTATATCTATCCTTGTTTAAGGTGTTGCTATTACAAAACTATTACTATTCGACCTAACTATCGACATTGCCCTTACATGCCCTTTGAAATTCAAATTTAAATTAATATTTATTCATTTACATTTTAATTTCACATCTTCCTTACATGCCGTTACTTCAAACAACTTTAATCAATTTAACAAACTCTTATTAAAAATTACTTTAAAAACAACAATTAATTTCGCAACTTTATAATTTACTTTTTTTTTCTATTGGGCAGGCCTGAAACTGAACTAATAACAACTTTAATTACTTACAATGTTTTTTATGAATAAACTTTCTATATTTGTCACTGTTACATGTATACAAATCAACTGATATTGTTATGTCTGTACTCAATATCTACATTTAGATTTTAATTTGTCTGGTCTTAAACTATAAGCGGTGTCTACAACTGATCTTTAAATCTAATGCTCATGCATTGCTTAACATTTATATAATAAAAATAATAATATAATTTTTCTTTTTTTTTATATCTTACCTATAGAATCTATTTACATTGTTATTCAAACTTAACTTCTAATACAACTAATAACAAAATAAAATCAACTTTAACTTCCTTTGTTTATATACATGTTAATATATTTTTGTTATTTATTGAAAATTTTATGCTATTTTTTTGTTTTTATTGTTATATTTTTATGCTCTTTTTTTTTAATTTTGTAATAAAAATATTAAGTTACAAGTATATTTAACTTACTTATTATAATTATATTAAACTTCAATTTATTACAAGTATATTTAACTTCAATTTACTTACCTACTTTTTTTTTTTACATTCTTTATGCTGAGTTATTACTTATTACTATTTAGTTTGAAAACATTAAGATACTGTTAAAAAAAAATTTGCTATTAATTATGTTATGTTACTGAATAAACTTTGATTGCAAAGAAGAAAAATAATGATATCTAAGACTCTTCGGTACATAGATTGTATACTATCATGAAATATAAAAGAAATACATATATCTATACAGTCAAATCCGGTTATATACCATACTTGAATGGTTTCTCGGTGATGCGTCCTCTCCTAGTAACATACTGCCTTTTGTGTACTGGTTGGCTGGTACCCTCATAATATTCTGGTGTGTGTGTCATATCCGTGAGCTGATCTTCCTCCTTCATTTGTATACCAAGGGAGTTGTCATTATTGCTGTTGTCATCATTATATTGGTCATCATTGTGTATTGCTGAAAAAGCTGAAAAAGAATCT